ACAAATTAAGAGTTAATTTTCTCCTAGTCGAGTATACTTTTCAAACAAGGTATCCAAAACCAATGTGAGTAATGTAACTGCACTGTTATTGGTTTTTCTGGCAAGTTTTTGGATGTTGGGATGATATCCTAAATAGGTAGGATAAAGAAGATTAGGGGACTAATCCTCTTGATGATTTTAAAATGATTTCTGTTATTCTGCATTGAAATAGTGTTATTTTAAGGAAAAAATGCTGCTACATCTGAGTAACACCTCTTGTTCCAAGCATCATTATTTAGCATGGCATGAGCCATGGGACATTTTCCTTGCTTCTTATATTAAGTATCTTCATGTTGGAAACCAATTCTTAGATGAATACGGAACTGACAAGTAGCCAGGTTAGTGGAACATTTACCGTATGAACATATTGGGTTAGGTCAGTGAGTGTTAAGGCTGGAAAGTCATATGGGAATGTAAAAAATGGTTCAAATTGGCCACCTCAGCCAATGGTTTAGTTAAGCTGATCACTGCAATTACTACTTTTAGTTAATTATCAAATGTATATACACTGTTAAAAACATCCCATTTTGTTTGTTACCTGATATACTTGGTCAGCTTGTCTTATCCAAGTTGTATTAACATGTAATATGTTAGAAGCAGAGATTATCATTTGACTCACTGTAATGCAACACCAAGCATGACAGGATTGTGTGGAAAAATAGTATGTGATCATGTAATTTATCTTACATTGCATATGATCAAGAGTATCAAATTAAGACTCCAGGGATACAAAAGGACCTCAAAGTGTCTGAGGCCCCTACGTGCTGCTTCAGTATAAAAAATATTACTAGGATGGGTGACAAACTTCACCTCTCTGTGGAGCTGCTCACCATCTGAGGTCAGTAATGAAGCAATGTGGTAGCTGCTCCAAAGAGTATTAGTGTTCTAAGACAGTAGGTGTGAGCTATTTCACTTGTACGGCACCTGGTAAGCATCCATCAAGAAGGAGGTGCAGGAACCTTCCTGCTCCTCCAGTCACAACCACTAATTTTGTGTAGTAGATCCTGTACTGTACCCTCTCAGAGCAGCTTTTGGAATGTGTGTAGGATTCAGCTGGTATTGGAAATGTTTTCTGTAGACTTAGTAGGGTTGTTGGTTGTAGCCATGTTGGTCTAAGGACATAGGCAGAAAACGTTCTTTGGGTAGATGTGATATCTTTTATTAGAAAAACTAAATTGTTGGAAAAATTGTTCTTTGCAAGCTTTCAGGCACAAATACCCTTCTTCAGGCATAGGGAAAGTCTCCCTGTGTAATATATATATTATGAAAATACAGAGAATACATGAAAAGTGAATGTTGGCTGCAGACTCAGTAAACAGCCTGTAAAACCGGTGTCTAAAAGAGAAGTGAGTAAAGTAGCCAAGGAAAAGCATTAAAATTATAGAAGCAGCATTAACAGGTAAAGGGGTGACAAGAAAAAAAGCACTGGAGGGAGCCTACAAAAAATGTAATATAATAAAAGATGGAAGAAACTCATTACTTGAGGAAATAGCAAAACTGTTCATGTTCTACATCAGAAGGAAAAAATACTCAGGCTGTGAGAATGCCATTATCATGATGCCTTTACAGGAAAAGTGAGGAAATACAGACCTGTCAGCCTGTAGCCTATAAAATTTTCACCACTTGCTGCACTGCTGGATTTCAGCCATCAAAGAGTACTGGCACTTTCAGTCTGGATGCTTTTCAATAAACTACATGCATCTATGTGATAGATAAACTGCGAGAGAACAGAGTGAATACATTTCTCATTAGATGTGGGAGACCTAGAAAATCCATCTGGGTTGTGAGTTGCCTGAAGGGCTTCAAAGAGAACAGAACATTTTGATGTTGAGGGTCTGTTTGGTGTTCCCATTAAACTACATTTTTGATATAGCCTAAAACAATAGCACATAATATTTTCTCCATGTATTAACAAGAGAAAACTAAAGGTTCCCTCTTATATTTGGAAATAAACCCTTTAGTAACATCACAAGCAAACACAATAAAAAATACTTGAAAACTTTACTAACAAGTTTAAAGGCTATTTTCCCAGGCTATTTACTTTCATACTTTTCTCACATCTCAGTTGGATAAGTATAGACATTCACTCTATGCAAATGAAGTTCAGTTTTATTGTCTTCGTTATGCTCGAGGCTGGATGGCTCACACCAAGCATTTGTCTGATCTACTGTCAATCACAACTCTTGTTAAAAATGATGGGTGTGGAAACTGCTTTCTGTTCAGGCTAAATAATTAATTTAATTATCATGTAATGATTGTTGAAACGATGAAAGCCACCACCCATCATATCGGCATGAGAACAATATCTTTCTAAAGGTTTCCCCAAATGTAACAGTGCTGTAATATCCATTTTTGGATTGAAAATCTGATTTTTTCAGTTCTGTTGCTCTCTTTCTCTACACCCAATGACAACGTTGCAGAAATTGGCACATACCTATGAAACAGTTCAGCTTTGATTTGACAGTATATTTCAATAAAAATTCGTTCTGTGAAAAACATTCCAAGCAGCTCCAGTTTTAAAGTGGGTATAGACAAAGTTTAAAGACATTGTTTTTGAAGAGTTCTAGGGAGTCCCTCCAAAGCGTGGAGGGCCACATGCAGTTTCTCTGAAAAATGTAATAAATGGGTGGTGGAAGCTGTCCTTCCACACAACGTCATCCTCATCATGAGTTTGGAGCACTACTGCTGAGCCTCAGCTGGAAAGAGGCCATTGGAGACCATAGGGAGAGCAGTTTCACTGGGGAGCAAGGGGCAGGAGTGATATCAGAGATGTATGGATAGTTTGGAGGAAAGAATTCAAGACAGTGATCATAAATAGTAGGCCTGTGTGAAGTATCTAGAATTTGCTTCAGATTCCAATTCAGGGGACAGTGGTTCGATTCATTGATTTAAATCACTGTCCCGAATTGATTCAGCTGAATCTGATTCAGAGATTCAGCCGCTGCCAAATCAGCCAAATCGCCCAATCAAACAGGCCCCATCCCTGACCTGCTCTTGCAGCCCCGTCAATGCATGTCAAAAAAGCCCTGCACTCACCGGCTGCTGCCAGGCAGGGGGGCAATCCCCACTGCCTCCCACTGCCCCACGCTGCATGGGGGGCTCTGCCATGATCCCTGATCCCATGCCCACTCTTCCAGCATCATCAGTGGCTGACCTGCCTGGCCTGAGCTCCCTTTTTTTTTTTTTTAAATAGCCCCACACTCACCAGCTTCTGCCAGACAGGGGGGCAATCCCTGCTGCCCCTGACTGCACTGCATTGTGTGGGGTGGCTCTGCCAGGAGAGACATCCCCTGCTCACTCTGGCTGCCCCATGGCTGTCCTACCCAGCCCCAGCGTCAGCTCCTTAAAAAAAAAAAAAAAAAGCCCTGCATGCACCGGCTGCTGCCAGGCAGTGGGAAGGGTGGGGGCAATCCCTGCTGCACCCCACTGCCCTGTGCTGCATGGGGGGCTCTGCCACAAGCCCCCAGAAGCCCCAATGGCTGCTGCAGCAGCTGGTCAGTGCATGGGATTTTGGGGGGGGGTTTAAAGAGCCGGGATGCTGGGGCCAGGTGGGACAGCCATGGACGGTGCTGGAAGAGCAGGCAGGGGATGGGGGCTCATGGCAGAGACCCCCACTCAGCATGGGGCAGTGGGGGGCAGTGCAGATTGCCCCCCTGACCTGGCAGCAGCTGGTGAGTGTGGGGCTTTTTTTTCCTTTTTTTTTTAAGAAAGGGAAGCGGGGGCAGGTGGGCCAGCCATTGATGGGGCTGGGAGAGTGGGTGGCTATCACCGGCACAGAGTCCGGGTCCAGCTCCCTGCGGCAATGAGTGGGGACTCCTCAAATCTACGAAGCTCTCCAAGTCTTTTCTGAATCAATTCAGAGAGCTTTGAATTGATTCAGACCTTTTTATTGGTCTCCCGATTCGATTTGGATTTGGAGATTCGGCTGCTGAATCAGGCCAAATCTCCTCTGAATTGAATCAACACCTGAAGCTTCACATAGCCTTAATAAATAGCATGTTCAATTAGTTTAGAGGTGGATGGGAAAAGGGATTTGTCATAAACTCCATGTAATCTTCCAGTTTTCTCCCACTTAGGGTGAAGATATCAGTCTCTCCTCTCTAGGTATATATGTCCTGCTGTGCTTGCATAACTACACTGAGGGGTATACACTGGAAAGATGGGAATGGAGCCGAGGTTCAACATCCTCTTGCCCCTCCCCTACACTGCTGCATGGGAAGAAATTAGCAGCACTGCAGAGCTCTTCTCTCTCCTCACCCTAAAGAAATTATATGGTGTGGTTGCAGCATAGGATAGTGGGGCACTAGACTTGATAAACCAGGATCCCTTCTTGTCCTATATCTATGGTGTATATGGGAGTGTTAGGTCAGAATATATTGTTACAGATTTTCCTGCATTTTTTACATAATTTTTCTTCTCTTACTGAACTTGTTGCCCATTTGACAGCAGAACTAATACTTTCAGGTTAGTTGCTGCAAATTCCTCTGCAGATACCCATTCTAGTTCTCATTGCTGTTGCTAATTTTCAAGTGAAAAAAAAAATAGTACCCATAACTTTTACACCAATAGGAACTATATTCCATTCCCCTGTGGTGAGAAGTCTTTTGACTCTCTTCATTTGATATTAAACCTAGCCTTTAATTATATGATTGTGATAAATCAACATTCTTCATTTCCTGGCCTTAGTCACATAACATGACTCAGTGTCACAAAAGATTATATTTTTCTTCCCTGACAAAGGTCAGAATTTACCTACATCAAGTCACTATTTTTGCCACCATTCTCTCCCATAGCATTTTATGCCTTGTGTTGCACTTTTTCTCCTTTCATAGTGGGGTGTATCTGTCTAGCAGAACTCTCATTGACTTTAACCAAGGGCAAGATTTAAGTAAAGGTCCAGAGAAGTGGTACAGGTTAAATTCCTTTTTCTTTATTACTACCTTTCAGTTCTATCAGCCAGGCTACATATTTAGGTTCAACACTGCCAAAAACTACTTCTCCTAGTTGGTGTCTTTCTACATCTGCAGATGTAGACCCTGTCAGACTCCATGTCCCTCATGGCTTCTCTTCCTCTTCCATGCCTTCTTTCCATGGGGACAGCCTGGGGTCCCTTTATTTTAAAGGGATATGTTGTTATCACAGGGTGACATCAACATCTTGAAGGCCTACACAGAAAAACAAAAGTCCTGCTTTGGCTGGATTCATGACAGCCTGCATTTCTCTGAAGGCTTATGTAAGTGGATCTATAAAGCAATTTTACATATATTTAAATAAAACTTCCTTACGTGCCTTCCCCCCTGTGGAGTGGATAAATATTATTCTGATAATCTTTATGGAAAAAATTAAGCACAGACAGAGATTAAGTGGTTTGGCTAATGAGAAAGGCAGGAATGTTACCAGTTTGGGATTTTCAGGTTTCTCACCTAACCAGCAACAATGTTGCTTTACACAACAAAAATTGGGATTTTCTTTATATTTGAACTTCTGTAATTCACACTTAAAAACTTTTGTTCCTCCCTTCCCCCCGCCTCCCCCCGCCAGCTGTACAATGTCAGGCAGTATAGGTCATTCTATAGACACCTCCTCACAAGAACAGTTAGGCAAAGAGAGGTTCTACATAGATGGACATAAAACAAAATAGAACAGCAGAAATCAGAATCTCTTAAAAGAAGAGCTGGAGCTGAAAATACTGCATAGAAGACAGATATAAATTAGGAAGCCCTTTTTCTAGCATGAAAACGACAGAAGCTACTGTTGTGAATAATGATGATATAGTGCATTTATAATGACATACACTATTAATTTAACTCCCCATCATAGTTTCTCATTTCCCTACCCCGTCTCTTGCTTATTGCTGAGGATTCCATTTGAGAGCAATCTGCGTCAGAGCTGAAGTTACAGGATTTTACTTTAGCAACAGGAAGATGTTTGGAGTCTTTCCAAAACTTTTCTGACTGCCTCATACATCAGATGTTCAAGATCAGAAACCAAGTTATTATTTAAATTAGCTGATCATAGGAGAATTAACTTGCTGTTTTACAAGCTGAGCCAAAAAATATTTTGGCAGCTGCTAGGGATAGTTAAAACCAGAACAAGCATTTTATTATTATTATTATTATTATTATTAGATAACTGATTTGTTAATCAATCCACTAATACAGAAATGAATGCAAAAATCATTATCCATTCTTCCAACTGTAACTGTAGAAACATTGCTATATTTCTAAACAACAGTCTTCCACATGCAGTTTGCTTTTCTAGGTTATTATTATTCTGTTTCTGCAGTACTGAGTTTGTGTTCAGTTGATCCAAATACCAAGAAGCCTTAAATGCATTTCACTTGATATTCATTACATGTGTGTATATTTGAATAGAAGGCACATAAACAGTGCCTACCTTTATCCTCTACATTTGGAAACTGAATGTGAAGAGCTCTGCAACCCATCAGCTAAGCATATGGTCTTAATCTCCCACAGAGCAGCAATGAACTGTTCGGAGATGTATATTATACATCTCCAAACAGTTTATATATAAAATCAGATCATCCAGAAAGTTTTGCAAACAAGCAAGAGCAAATATTTGAAAAAAAAGTATCAGATGTTCCACCTCAAGCTAATACATCTTTGAGCAATTTCATATTGATTTGCCCAAGTTGCAAATGTTGTATTAACTAGTAATAAATACTGTCGATAGACTGAGACAATGACCTCTCTTTCGAAGATTGCTTTTCAGGACTCACATCTTTGGTGTCTGTACCATGTGTGACCACCCCCTGCTCCTAACAGAAAAGACATGCACTAGCCAGAACAACTATAGCATCCTGGACGGAGAAGTAAGATGTGATAGAAGGCTTGCACAGCATTCTTTCCTTGTAAGAAGGGACCAGAGTTGGACTCTCAGAGATAAATGACTTCCTGCTCTGCTCCTGGGGCCGCATGACTCTGCATAGCCCCTCTGTCAAGCTGGATCATAGAGTTTATTGTGATTAGAGCTACCAGCAAAATGTCATAATCTAAGAGAGATTGCTTGAGCAGATCTAAGTGGAAGAAATGCAACACACCAATGAGAAAACCCTTACCAAAATTGGGTGATGGCCTTAGCTACAGCCATGCACCCCAAGGGCTGCAGGATTAAATTGTCTTCACACAGCTCTGCCAGTGAGCTCCAGCATCCCTCACATCTCAGAACAGGAACCTCTGAAGGGAGATGAAAGGCAGATTAATGCAAAAAAAAATCCATGTTACTTTTGTGCTTTTGCTGAACATCTTGAGGGCTCCAGGGTAAAAATCCCACTTGCTTCAGTCCTGTTGCTATAAGGCCCTTGTACAAAAACCTTCATTAGTGAAAGACTGACAAATTAAAACCTTACTTCACTGAGCCTCCACCCCTCCACCACTCAAGGGAGCTGTTTAAAATTAGCAAGGAATGTGAAATGGAGCAGCTTTGCCTTGTGTTTGTGAAATGGGAATGTTATGCTGGGTAAAGTGTGCTGCACAGCACGGAACCAATTCAAGTACTTCCAAAAATGGGAATAAACAGCTCCCTAGGCAGATTAGGTACTCCCCTTTCCTCCACACTGCAACCAAACCAGGATAGTTCTAGCAGAGACAGGGCAGGTACAGGAGAAAGAGAACAAAATTAATTTGAGATTTAAACTTTTAATTCCAATTAAGATAGTGGGGGAAGAAAGGGGCAGGGAAGCTCAACTTCTTAAATCCAGACGGGACAGGATTGTATTTCTGTTTTCTGCAGCAGAATATTAATAGAACAATGTTTATGTGTGCATAAACATCCATAGAGGTAACTAAGATGCATATTGGCTAGTGATGAAAGGATGGTTGATAAGTCACGCACTGATTATTCTTATTTCTGAGTGGTTGAAAACCTTGCATATGTCAAATATGAGTGTAAAGAGTTAAAGTGCCCTGATTATGGCAATATTCGTAATTTACCTCCATGGGCATCCTGAGGTTTTAGAGCAGAGTTTGCGGGAGTTTTTGTTCTAGGAGTTTTCTAGAATAGAAAATGTATAGAGAATGGTTAAACTGTACTGCATTTCCTAGTGACTAATATCAGCTGAAGCCAGAACACTGAGTAGAATTCTAAAACATATTAGTATCTTTTTTTTTTTTACTTGTTTTCTGTTGAAGTATTTCAGACTAATCCTCGGTAAGAAATTATACTACTGAATGTAGCGACACAGCTGATTGGCCTTTTTTGTTCTTTATAGGAAGTGCCTTTCTAGTTGGAATGTGGTTTATATAATATATAAATATGAAATCAAAGTCACTGGTCTCCCCTGTAGAGGACTAGCCCACTCTTGCAAGAATAAATCACATCCTTTCAGGTATCCCTGAGCTTCAAATGTCAGAACTACTTCAATGGAGGGAAAGGACGAATATAACTGCCTGATGAATGATGAGTTTTTGTTGTAACCTATGCTAGCTTAATGAGAATGGTGGGGTTTGGGAGGTATTTTGGGAAGGGTGCAAGGCTCATTGGCTGAGCACTGGCTCAGACAGATGCACCTACCACAAACCTCCCTATCTTTGGGTTTGATTCTGTCTTTTAAAAGGTTGCGAGTGGCAAGGAAGTGTGCAAAGAAGATCCTTCATCTTGTATAGCCCACACCAGTGGCAACTTGTAGGGGGTGCATGGGGGTACATGTGCACCCCATGAGAGCACTGGTGCACCACCTGACAGCCAGCGTTCCTGGCTTAGGCGATGGGCAGGTGGGAGTGCTGCTGCCCCACCTGAGAGCACTGGCTGGGGAGTGGGGGTGCTAGGAAAAGCACCGCTGGCACTTCTGGGTGCATCCCTGGCCCTTCCGGGCATGCCACTGGCACTTCCAGGTCAGTGCGCGCAACCGGCAGAGGGGACTCCCCACCCAGTTGGTGCAGTCAGCTGCAGCGCACCCCCCCCAGTTTCTGAGGAAGCACCAGTCACCCATGGCCCACATACAGGATAAGTAAAGCAGGA